GGAGAGCAGGGAGGGGTGGTAGGGGGCAGCTTGGTGCCTTGGGTGACTCAAATGGGAGGGGCCACAGGGCCTGTCAGCCCCCCTCCTGCCCTGCCCTGTTGTTGCAAAGGGCCAAGGAGGCAGGAGCAACGGAGCAAAAGGACTGGGGGTGGGACAAAAGACGAAGACACACACCCCCTCCCCTTTTCCCCCCTGGTTGCAAGGTGACTGCCTGGAAAGAGGAAAGCCTGGCATGCAGAGGCCCCAATCCGTATCTGCACATGACCTTAGTGTTAACTGCACTAACGGAGGGTTTGGCAGGCGATGGCTTGCTGGGGGAGGGGCTTCCCCCAAATCTCAAGAGGCCGCGCATAAGAAAAGAGACCAGAGCAAGCAGACTGGGGGGGGGGGGCAGGTGGGGGCAGGATCCGAACTCTCTGCTGTGACTCCGCAGAGGGAGGTGTTCCCATTCCGAGTGAGCGGCTGTCCAGGGAGCCGTCCAGCTGGCCTCTCTCTCTCCTCTCCCTACATGGCAGGGGTGAGCAGGAACACCGTCCCAGGCTTCAGGCGTCCAGCTGCTCCTGGCGGAGAGGAGAAAAAGCAAGACACACAATCACAGGGGAGAAAGTGGCAGCCGCAAGGGGGTCCCGCTGGCTCCACCTGACATGCCCCCCCCTCGTGCAAAGCACAGCTCAGAAACACACCACGCAGGGACCGGTGCAGAAGTAAAAAAAACACGGGCAGGCAATGTTTACTGTGTGTAGTGTGTAGTTATTACTGAGTTTGTCCTTTAATTTTTTTCCTGTTATTTGCAATTTCCCTTTTTTATCGATTAAATTATTAAAAAGAAATGGGCTGATCTTGGGCTTTTCCCAAACTGACCCACTTTTCCTCTTTCCTCCTCTTCTCTTTTTCCTTTCATGCCCTTTCTCTCGGGATCAAAGATGCAGGAGGGACTGTATTTTTTTTAAAACAGCCTCTACATGAAGCTGTAGTAGGAGACTTCTAAGCTGAACTCCAAACCAATAATACATACATTCTAAATGTAGGTCTTTAACTCTCAATATCAAGTCAGTTAGCATTTGTGATAGCTCTTACTGTATTTGTTTTTTCAGAATAGGTCAAAATACATCATCCTTTCTGTTTAAACTTCAGAGCGATATTGAGAAACGCATTAAATAAAACGTCTCATTTGTAAGAGCTGCTGATGCAACAGCGTCTCCTTATGTTGAGTTTTTAAACAGTGAATTACACAGGGATGAGTCAGCTGTGGAGGATGATGGCAGGAAGGTTGCACAAGCTCTGCACTGTCTGGATTCGCCAGCAGAGAGCAGTATCCACCTGTTTCAACAGCACAGAGCTGAGAAAATAAAAGAGGGGAGGGGTCCTTAGGATGCTCTTGGCTTTCAAACATTGTACAAAATTTTAAAAAAACCTATGGGGGGAAAAAGCTGGTATGGTAATCTTGCTCCGTGGTGCTCAGCTCCCGGATTCCCATGGTAATCTTGCTCCATGGTGCTCAGCTCCCGGATTCCATGATGCCTTTGCTCTCCCACCTTAAAAGTCAGGTGCCTTTTGCTTTTCCAGCTCGAACCAACCCCTGCCTTTTGTTTGCAAGCCTCGATATTGAGAAACGCATTAAATAAAACGTCTCATTTGTAAGAGCTGCTGATGCAACAGCGTCTCCTTCTGTTGAGTTTTTAAACAGTGAATTACACAGGGATGAGTCAGCTGTGGAGGATGATGGCAGGAAGGTTGCACAAGCTCTGCACTGTCTGGATTCGCCAGCAGAGAGCAGTATCCACCTGTTTCAACAGCACAGAGCTGAGAAAATAAAAGAGGGGAGGGGTCCTTAGGATGCTCTTGGCTTTCAAACATTGTACAAAATTTTAAAAAAACCTATGGGGGGAAAAAGCTGGTATGGTAATCTTGCTCCGTGGTGCTCAGCTCCCGGATTCCCTGATGCCTTTGCTCTTCCACCTTAAAACGTTGGAAAACCCAGTATAACACCTGCAGTTCAGTCCGGTGCCTTTTGCTTTTCCAGCCCAAACCAACCCCTGCCTTTTGTTTGCAAGCCTTCTGAAGGTGCTTTGCTTCAAATAGCAGCTGTACCTGCAAGGGGGTGTGCCAGGCCGTAAACCTGCCAAATTCCTGACAGTTCCTGCTCAGGGCTGAGTCTATAAGGTGCCTTTAAATGTTGCTTTACAAAATGCAGTGAGATTTGAATCCATCCATCAGCTTGTTTCAGTTCGGATCAAAGACCTAACCTGGCCGGTTTGCTCCAATCTGGAGCTCATACCAATAGGTCCAAAACAGGCCAATTCGGTTAATCATTTGAAATTTGGCCAATATCAAAGCCCAGTCTGGGCTGTCACCATCTTCTTGAAAGACGACGGAGACCTAGAGTTAAGGGCAAACAAGGATGTGGTCAACGACCTCTTCCTCCGGCTCTCGAGTGGCAGCAGATGGGCGGATGCCAGTGGTCGCCCTCGGCCTCCAGGGCCTGAGTTGCATCCCTTACTTAAGGCTGGTGATTCTGACATCCTCCAAGTGGGGAGGCGGCTGCTTTTGACCCCAGTGAAACGTCACTAGTGCCGGAAAGACCCATGAAGTGTTCCCAGCCCTATGGGGTTTTGCTGATGCCAAGGCAGTGGCAGTCACGGGTGGGCAGCAGAGGGCAGAGAGGAGAGGAAGGTTGCCAAGCCCCCCCCCCCGAGGTAGCCAGAGAGAGGCAGACAGAGCGTGCCGACAGCAGCAGCACCTTAACGGACAGGCCAAAATAAAGAAGGTGAGCGAGGCAGAAGGAGAGAGGCCAACCAAGGGCGTGCATGGGAAAGTCAGCAGAGAAGGGCGAAAGAGCCATGCGCCCGGCAGAGGCAGAACCACAGCAGCCGGCACCACCGCTACGGATCACCGGAGGCTGAAGGCTTACAGAAGCGCACCTGCTAGAAGTCGGTGATCTCTACCCGGCCGGGGGCCGGAGCCGAAGGGACTTCTGTCTCAGCAGCTGGGAAGACAAGACAGGACCACAAGGTTAGTGAGGTTGAAGGGCCTCCTGGAGCCACAAACCAAAACATGGGGCACTGGGGGGGGCACACCTTCTCTCTCTCACTCCCCCCCCTCAAGGATCTCCACTTTGCTCACCAGGATCCTCCCCAGGCAGTCCTGCTTCCGGCTTGGCCGCTTCCGGCTCTGTGCTGGTCTGCACCTCGGGGGCGCTGGCTGCGGGGGCTGCCTCCTTTTCAGGCTCAGTCGAGGGTTTGGGGGAGGCCGTCCCTGCAGGAAGAAGAGGGGGGCAGCAAAGGAAGAAAACTTTCCCCTCTCCTTTCCCCTTGTGCCCGCCTCTCAGTGGGCTGGACGACAAGGTGCACCAGTCGGGCGGCTTTGTGATTTGAGCACCGCAGGCTGAACAAGGGGGGGCCGCCTCAAAACCACCACCAGCACCACCACCGCTCCCCCCCCCCGCATGCAGAGAGTGCCTGGGGAACAGGAGGAAGGGAGGGCAGGCAGGTGGGCAGCAGAACCAGGCTCATTTCATGCTCGGAAGGGGATCTGTGTCCTCGCCTCCCTCCCGCCGCCCGCCTCGGCTGCCCCAGTTGGACTCCAAAGGCCCCCTGCCACCCCGCCACCCTTTCTCCCACTGGCCCGTCCCTTCCTCACCAGCAGCAGCAGCAGCAGGAGGTGCGTCCCTCGGCTCGGCCAAAGGGTTCCTGGAGGCGTCCGTTCGGGGAGAGCTCAGCTCCATCTCTTCCCCCCAGTCCGAAACAGGGTGGTAGCCGTCAGCAGGCGAGAAGGGGGTGAGGGGCTTCCCCTCGGCCGTGGGTGTCTCAGGCTGGCAAGGGGGCATGACCAGGGAGAGCTGCTCATTGCTCCTGGGGGCCTGGGGGCAGCCGGTGGGAGGGGGCTGGCCCTCCTCCCTGGAGCCCCGGCTGCCTCGGCCTTTGGCTCCATGGTCCTCCTCTCCTCCTCCTCCTCCCTCCTCCTCTTCTTCCTCCTCTTCTTCTTCCTCCTCCTCTCCTCCACTGACATCTTCCCACTGATCCTCCTCCTCCTCCTCTTCTTCATCTTCCATCACCACAGAGGGGGAGGCAGGGGGTTCGTCCTGGGGGGAGAACAGCAGCCATCAGTGAGCATAAGACTGGGGGGGGGACACCTGTCTCGGAACAGCGAGGTTAGTGCCTTGGCCAGGATGGCCCCCACACACATCCCCATGAGTGCAGTGCCAATGCGGGAACTGATCAGCTGCCCTGGAGCTATTCATGAGGCACCAGGCACATCTCTCTGCAGGAGGCCGCACGTGTATCAGGCAGAATCCAAAGATTCGAAACAAAAGAAGACAAAAAAGTGGCCCCTTAAAGACTATTATATTTTAATGTGATCTTTCTTGGGCACATCCAATTCTTCAGACATACGGAAATAGAGTGAAACGTTGAATGAAATACCAGTTTCATACTAAATATTTGTGGACTCTTGGGTGTACATGACCTTTCCAGGCAGTAATTTATGTTGTTTTAGGGCTCTGTTGTAAACATTCCTCAGGAGACAGAATACAGGCACCAGGTCCGAGCAAAGAGGAGGGGGAGGGAGAAAAGAGAGGAGGGGCATGGGGGAGGGGGTTGAAGAGGGGGGGGGGCTCACTCCAAACTCAAGTGGGAGAGAAAAAGAGACTATTAAATATAAAGGTGAAAAAAGATGGCAGAAGAATCATGTGTGTTAATGTAGGGGGTGTGGACAGTTTTTATCTTTGAGCCCTGTGATGAGAGGCGGCCTTGGTAGTTGTAAAGAAAATAACAGGGGCAGAAGATAAGAGCAGGAATATTGCATTTGGCAATGACTTTTTAAAAACCTAGGCTTATATGCATTTATATGGCTACCCATCATGGGTATACATTTTCTCTCAGCTGTTTCCTGGTTCCCTGGTGTAGCAGGACCGGTGCTCTTCCCACCCACCCACCATACCTGCTCCGCAGGGTTAGTGGCCGATTTGTCTTCTACAGGGGGTGGCGGGGGTGGCACCGTCTCCGGTTCCTCCTTCTCCCATCGATTGTCATGCATGCTGCCCAAGGAAACCAGGGTAAGCCTGGGGAAGGGTCTGCCCCACTCCCAGAAAACTGGAAACAAGAGGGGGGCGGCCACAGAAGAACCTCAGCCGAGCCCCTCTCCCATCCTAAGAGGGACACAGAACAGCACCCCAGAGTCTAAAAACTCAGCCCCTAAGCCACCCCCCTAGCGTTCTTCCCCCGTCCTTTGCACAAGGGAGTCTGTCCTGCTGTCGCCCACCTCACCTGTATGGCTTGGAGGGCCCGCTCCGTGGGCGCCCCCGGCCTCTGCCCTTCCTGCGCCGGTCCGTTTGCTGTTCGGACAGGAATTCTCCAAAAGTGGGTAGTTTAGGGGGTCTCTTGGACTCAGCTGGCGGGAAGGGAAAGAATTAGATGAGGGCTGCCCCCAGACCCCAATCGCAGCCGGGCACAATAGCCGGGGAGCAAAGCCATCTTGAGCTCAACCTGATTCTGCACTACCGGAGTTCACTTTTTGCAAATGTGCGTCACCTCACCCCTCCGGATTCCGGATGGGAACCCTCATTTATCTCGTCCTTTCATGCAGAAAGGAGACGTCCCAACCTGTTTCTTCTCGTAGCAAGGAAGGGGAGATAATTTTTCGGGACTCACAACAGAGATCTTGCATTGAGAATAAATGATATTTTATGGAAAAACTGCAAAAAACATTTTTTTTAATTATATAGAACTGGCCATGTTTGTGCAAAGTTCTGCAATTACACAAGTGACCCAAAATGAGGAGGAAGCTGAAGCATTAGGTGATGCTATTAATTTTTTTCTTTCCTACAGGTGTCCAAATGCTGATTTCTTAAAATCATACGCCTGGTGTGGTGAAAACACAGACCACCAGATCCTGCACTTAAAGTCATGTGCAAAGCATCTGGTTGCATGTGGGGGCTGTGAAGCAAAAGAAGCTAAACGTAATGGAAGACTAATTGTGCTGAAGAACAAACAAGTATGGCCAGTGGAAGAAGTAATTTAGGGACAAATGCCAAGGAAGTGTCCCATCATTGCAGCACCCAGTTAACCGGGTGCTAGGGTAGGTAATTCAAACAAATAAACAAAAAATAGAAAAATAAAATACAGTGGTGCCTCGCTTAGCGATCGCTCCGCATAGCGAAGAAATCACTTCAAGCGATCGCATCACTGTACGTGAAAAGGAGAGAGCTATTGGGGGTGGGTGTCCCCACAGTCACAGAGAAATGTCCCACTTAAAACATCACCTTCAAAGTGTGTGCTTCTTAGATACTGGCCCACAGTGCTGAAGGCATTCTCTGAGTGGTTTACAATATAATTATGCAGGCTACCGACTGCCCCCCTCTGCCCAGCGGGCTGGGTACTCAATTTACCCATCTTGGAAAGATGGAAGGCTGAGTCAGCCCTGAGACGGCTACCTTAGCCCCTTGGGGCTCAGACTCAGGTTGTGAGTTGAGGTGGGCATGAATCAGAAAAATAGTGATCTGTTTCGATTTGTGATTCGTCAAGTTCGATGAATCACGAATTACGATTTTTTTCTTACGAATTGATGAACTGATTTGTCAATTTATTTTTTACTTCAAAATCCTATAAAATCGGCCCCTGAGGACCTAAAGACACCAAAATTTCAGGGAAGCTTCCTCTGGCTCTCCTCTATAGTCCCTCTGAGATTGGTGAAGACTGGGTTTCAGATCTCCAAGTTATACATCCACAAGGAGGGCTCCTCCAGGAAAGTACTTCCTAGGGATCTAGAGACACCAAAATCACAGAAAGGCTTTTGCCAACTCTCCTCTACAAAACCTCGAAGATTGGGTTTCAGACATCCAAGGTATACTCTCCCTCAAATTGTGTCCCCCTAGAAAAGTGTCCTTTGGCAGCTGGCTTGGGGAAATGCAACCTTCACCAAACTTGGAGGGATTGTAGAGGAGAGTCAGATGAAGCTTCCCTGCAATTTTGGTGTCTCTGGGTGCCAAGGGGAGGGTGTTTCATAGCCAAATGAAAGGACAAATCAAAAATTGCTAAAAATTTCATTGGGCCGTTGATTCATATGAATGCAAATTGAATTAGCAGATTTTTGAATGAATTTGGTGAATTTTTTTAAAATTTATGCCCTAGTCGTGAGCAGAGTCTAGACTGCAATATTGCAATTTAACCACTAAGCCGTGGGGATCCTCAGGAAAGCTAGAGGAAATGCTAACCACCCTCTTCTTCCACACTTCAAGACAGCAGGCCCAGCAACACCATAACTAGCCAACTCCTTCCCTGGCATGGTGAAGTTTAGGCTGATGCCTGGCAAGCGCATCAATGAAGTGCCAATGCCAATTCAGAACCCACAAACAAAACGTCTCCTGCATACACCCTCTATTGCATCCACATGCCACTTCACCATCCGGGCACTTACGCCGCATCCATCTTCTCGGCGTCCCACTCCCGGCGCCATTCCCCTGTGGGCTGCCGATGCCGGGCCAGCCGTTCCCGGTCGATCTGCTCTCGCTCTTGCTTCCAGCGCATATATTCTGCCCGTTCCCGGCCCGTCATGGAAAGCGTCATGTCTAAGGCTGCAGGTCCTCCTCCTCCACTGCTGCCACCACCACCTCCGCCTCCTCCTCTCTGCCGGGCGCTGCCACGACCCTAAGCAGGAAAAAAAGCAACCAGGTTGGAATCAGGAGGGGACAATGATGTGCCGTCTTGCAGCAAAGGGCTGCATTCACCGAAACACCCAGAGTGAATCAGGGTGCTGGGGGGGGGAAGCACCGCTTCAGATTCCTTGGCCCACCACCCCTGCACGTCAACCCCAGGTCCCATGCCAAGACCTACCGGGCCTCCCCGCTCCTTGCCCTGCTCTATGCCAGTCTTGACCTTGTCAAAGTCCGGCCCACCCCAGTTGCGCATGTGGCGCCGGCTGCCTTCCCGTCGGTCCGACTCGGCAAAGGAGCCGCTGCGCCGCGGGTCGTCCAGAAAGTTACGGACGGGGTTTTTCTCTTGAAGGCCATCCTGCTGGAGGGAAGAAATCAGTGGCTGCAGCTGCAGCATGCGGGGCAGGACCCCAGTCCCCTCGCCCCCTCTGGGAACCAAGAGCATTGGACCCCACCCCAACCAGGGACAGGACAAGGATCCCCCTCCCCAACATGGCTAAAATGTCCCACTCCCTGCTGCTCTCAAGCTGGGTCCGTCTAGCGCTCTGGCACTCACACGCTGGCTGCGTTCATACTCGGCAATTTTCTCCATCTCCTCGTTCATTTTCTCAATGTTTTGCCGACGGCGCTCTTCCCATTCCTGAAGGATGAAAAGAGTTTGCGATGGAGGGGGGGGGCATCCTGGCTTGCTCACAGAGTCAGCTGTATTGTACTGGCTCCCTCCCTCTCTCCCCGCCCCCCCACTGCCAACATCCACACTTCACCTTAGATCTTCGGTCGGGTCCTGCGTCTCCCGCTGGGCCCCCACGGGCTCGAGGTCTCCGTCCACGCCCCCCTCGGCCTCGCTTGCTGTCCCCCAGGCCTTCGGGGCCTGCTCCTTCCCAACCGGGCTGCCCCAGGGGGCCCTCTCCTCGTGGAGAGCGGCTGAGCACATGGGGCCCCCCACGGATGGGGCCGCCGCGGGCACTCGAACCTCCCCGCGAAGCCTTTGAGGGAGGGATGTGCTTCCTCTCTGTGCTCACCACACGTTTCTCCTGGGGAGGAAGAGCAAACCAGAAGGTGGAGACCTTGAGCCCTCTGCCTCCCCTCCGGGGATACCCCTAGAGCACGCTACTCACGCTCTTGGGGGGGGGGAGAGATCTGC